AAGGAATAGAATATTCAGTTCCCTCCTGTCCAAGTTACGACTAGTCTCCCATCAGCCTGTTGGATAGTACCACCTAAGGACTGGAATCTTCAGTAAGGGATATGGATGAGGAAACAGCACACACGCACACGCGCACACACACACACACACATGCACGCACGCACACACATGCACACATACACACAATTCTGCGTTCTGCTCTCCTATAGTGGCTGAAGTCTGGCAGTATGGAGTCCCCTGAGAAATATCCTGACCAGTCTGTTGCTGTATGTTCTTTTCTGAGCCTGGTTCCCATGTCTACCCATTGATTCCATAAGCCAATCTCCTAATAAAGTCTCTCTTTTAGTTACATTAGATATACTAAGTTTTTAATGTTTGGAAGGGGAAATCTTGACTGATACAATCAATGATTTTCTCATCCTTTTGTTCATCTTCCCATGACAACCCGAGGATAGATTATTTGAATTCTTGAAAGCAGTAACCACATACATTATAGGATCTATATCTTATACAGATGTTGACGCTTACGTTAGGAAAGTTGAGACAAGATCCTTTAAAAAATATAGTATAGTAAAAAATATAAATCTGTGACCTGAGAGGGTCTAAACCATGGTGGACATATTCTAACGCCTCTGTCAGGCGAGAAGGTGGCACAGGGACTGGCATTTCCTGACTAATATATTCATCGTTCTGCTGGTCCCCAGTGTTGCTCTTGAGTGTCTTCCTGGGACTAGCATGTTGACTTTTTCTTTTCTTAACTTGGAGACATTTACAGCCAAATTTTGTACATAAACTTGCATATTTTCTCTATGAAAGTACAAACATAATTTTTATAATACTTGTATTTAATTTTTTTAATTACATCATTGCTTCCCTTGCTTTTCCTCACTCCAACTGCTCCCATGTCCCCCTGCTCTCTCTCAAATGGCTTCGCTTTAATTGTTTATATATATATATGCATTTGTATATGTATATCTCATAAACACAAGATTTTCAGTCCATGTAACATTACCTGTATGTATATTACCTCAGGGATGACCGCTTGGTATTGGCTAACCGACTGCCCCCCCTGCGCCCCCCCCCCCCAGAAGTTCACTTCTCTCTCAGCCTTTCCCAGTTGTTCATTATTCTTTGTCTAGAGTTGAGCCCGTTGAGCTTTCCCTCTTCCATAGTAGCAGGTCCATTTGTGTCATGGTTCAGGTCTTGTTTAGGCAGCCATGCTTATGAGTTTTCATGAGTGTAACCTCTCTGACATTTCTGGGAAACAATCTCACAGCAAACTTGCTGGTCCTGGTCCTCTGGCTCTTATAGTCTTTCCATCTCTTCTTCAATGATCCCTGAGCCTTAGGTGCAGAAACTGCGCTGTAGATGTATCCTTTGGGACTGGGGACTACATGGTCTCTTGTTCTTGCATTTTGATTGGTTTTGGTTTTCTGTCATGGTCTCCATCTGTTGAAAGAGAAGTTCCTTTGATGGGAGGGGATGAGAAGACTTGGTTATGTGTTGGATAACTGTTTAGAATGTAGTTAGGAATTTGCTGGTTTAATAAAATGGTTTTAGGTTCTCATCTAAGATCCAAGACTTCATTAGACCCAGGTAGCGAACTAGGTTTACGCTACCGGGCATGGCTTTCCTCTTGTTGAGGGAGAAATGTGGGACATGTAACCAAAAGAATACTCAGCTGTAAATAAAAATGAAATCATGAACTTTTCGGGTAAATGGGCGGAACTATAAAAGATGATATTGAGCGATGGAACTCAGACCCGGAAAGACAAGCCTCATTCATCCCTTCTCATCTTAGTTCCAAGTCCTTGGGTGTCTGCAGCCTGAGAATTGTCATGGTATGCTGGCCCTTGTTGTGGTTCATAGGTGTCATAGCTGGCTAGGACTATTGACTGCTTCCTCCCATGGAAGTTTGCATGGCAGTTTCTGGTACCAAGGGTGACAACAATATCCTAAAATGTTTTGGGACTCTCTTGGACAACATTGACCAATTGACTCAAAATAGGACTTCTCTATAGCTGGCGTTGGGGTTTTGGTCACATGGTTTATGGCTCTTGGGGAGAGGGGGCTGACCATGCCAGCTGTCAGCATATGGGGAGATTTTATTTAAACTAAACCAAATGTACAGGTATACCCACACATTTTGTATTTAATTTTATGTAGGTAGACAATAATGTGACTATGATTTTTTGGGCATCCTTATTGTTATTTTACTTGCCTACATTTTTCTTTGTATTTATCATGTTCCCCTCTCTCTAATTACTGTATCAATTTTCCCACCCCCCTTCAAATGTCCTGTACCCTGCTATTCCCTTGTATATCGTTACCCACTCCTGCCACCATCCCTTTACTTTCCCGGTTCCTGCAGATTGTGCACTCACACCCGAGGACTTGGAACTAGGATGAGAAGGGATGAATGAGGCTTGTCTTTCCGGGTCTGAGTTCCATCACTCAATATCGTCTTTTACAGTTCCGCCCGTTTACCTGAAAAGTTCATGCTTTCATTTTTTCTTCACAGCTGGATATTCCGTCGGGTACACAGCCCAGGCTTTCATTGCCCCTTTTCAGCTGACGAGCACGTAAGCTGTCACCATTTCCTACCTACCACGAGTGGAATGGCAATGACCATGGCTGAGTAAGTAGCTGTGTGGCATGATGTCAAGTCCTTCGGGCGCATGCTTCATCGCGGTCGCTTTGGAATGCATTTGTATGTCTCGTGCAGAACGGGTGTGTATACATGTTCATAGGTGTTCATATGTGCTTGTGGGTATACTTGCACATGTGTGCAAAGTCTGTGGAAGGGTCTCTCACTGAACCAGGAGCTACAGACCCTTGCTACTGTCCCAGCTTTTATAAGGTGTGTTTCTGGAACCCAAACTCACCCTCTTATAGCAGGAAGCCCTTTATTCACGGAGCCATTTCTCCAGCCCTTCCTTGTACATAGATTTTTAGTTGGAATACCATTTTTACTTTTTATTTTTGTTGATTGGTAGGAAAACTAAAATATTCTAAGATGAGACATACTTTAGCAAATAACACTAAATATATATTGAAAGCAAAACAGGAAAAACAGATTAGACAAAACAATAAAATGAACACCAGAATAGAAACAGGGAACTTCAAAGTGAGAGGAATAGAGAATAGAATAAACAAACACCAACCAAGTAACAGGAAAATCTAGGAGAAATTCTAGAACAATGTCTCCATTCTAGCTTATGTGGTAGATACAGTGGGGGTTCACACCTTTAATCCCAGCACTCTGGAGGCAGAGGTGCGGGCAGGCGGATCTCTGTGTGTTTGAGGCCAGCCTAGTCTACAGCGTAAGCTCTTGGGCAGCCAGCGCTGTTACACAGAGAGAAACCTTGTTTCCAAAAACCAACCAACCAACGAAAACCAAAAAAAAAAAAAAAAAAAAAAAAAAAAAACCCACCACCACCACTTCAGCAAAATTCACACACACACACACACACACACACACACACAGAGAGAGAGAGAGAAAGAAAGGAAGGAAGGAAGAAAGAAAGAAAGAAAGAAAGAAAAGAAGGAAGGAAGAAAAAAGAAAAGGTTTTAGAGGGAAGGGCAGGCCAGGGACAGCACCTCAGAAAAGAGAAAAAAGTCAGCAAAATAGTGGGCAGGAAAGATAACATAGACCTTGAGCTCAGAAGCCAAAGCTGGTTCACATAAATGTATTTCTTAGAAGATTAGATTTGCTGTGTGTGTGTGTGGGGGGTGTTTCTTGTCAAAATCATTAAGGAAAAATGATTCAGGACATGTCTTAAAACAGAACTTTCGGTAAACAGGAATTACCTATAAAAGAAAATCAGGAAGGCGAAGTGTTTCTTTTTATGAAGTTACATCCTGCCATGGAAAAGCTGTATCGGAAATAAAGACCGAAGCTTTCCCAACTGCACACCAACCCCACCATTATTTCCTCAAGGAAACTCTGAGCAAAAGTCTCAGCTAGGCAATGAGTGAAAACAAGAAAACCAACAGAGGTTTGAACGCCCCAAGAAGTCAGACAAGCGACGGCTACAGCTAAATATCTGGAGAGAAAGTACAAGCAATCTCTGCTGTGTGGTTTTGGGTCTCTTTGTTGCAGGCCCTTGCACCTCAGCAATACCTTCTGACTCTTTCTGGAAAAGAAAGATACATGGGTGCCCACGAAAGTGAGACTGACAAAATATGATTTTTGTTGTTTTTGTTGATTGTTATTCGTCGCGTGTTTGCGGGGTCATCTAGCTTTCCATTTTCTGCAATGGACGTCTCTACTTGGCTCCTCACTTCTGTGAGATGCCACCGCCATTCTTAACACCTTTCCATTTTATCCCCCACTCTCAAAGATTCTCGGTATTTCTGGAGAAATGGGTTCCCGAGGCTGTTAGGCTGCAGTGGCAGGTGTCGGTCTCCACTAGCAAAGTAGGAAGCAGCTCAGAGCCTCCGATCTCTCCTGTCCGGACTCCACAGGACCCTGACACACACCCCTTCCTCCTCCAACCTCGCGTCCCGTCGCACACCCGGCGCGGCCCGCGTGCCAGGATGCCGGCCACCACAGTAACGCCCCACCCACTCGGCGGCCCCACCCATGGCCGTCCCGCCTCCCACGCGCGCACCAATGGCTGCGGCCCCCAGCTCCCAGCGGGCCCTATGATAGGGCAGCGCGACCTGACAGTCTCCGAGCGTGTCCCGCCCCCTCTCGCACCCCTCGGGATCCGGAGCAACCCGAGCATCAGCGAGAGAGTAGCTGCGAGAAGCCGCGGCGGCGGCGGCGCGTCGGTGCAGTTGCGCCATCTGTCAGGAGCGCAGCCGGCGGGGAGGGGGCTCCGCGGAGAGGAGGAGGGGTCGCCGTGCGCCGGGCCTCCGAGACCCGCCCGCCTGCCGGCCAGGAGCGCAGCGAGGCCGCCTCGAGCCGGGGCGCTCCTTGGACTCCCTCCCCGGGCGCACACAAAGCCACCGCCCGCGCCGGCCAGGGAGGGACCGGGCTGCCGGGCCGGGGACACCGGCGCCGCCCCCTCGGCGCTTCGCGAGGCCCTCGAGCTCCCGGGCCCCGCCGCGGAGCCGCCGGAGCCGCCTGGGCCGCGCCGGAGGAGGGCGGGGAGAGGACCATGTGAATGTGCTCCGGAGCCGAGCGCCACGCCACGCAGGTAAGCGGCCGGGGATGCGCGGAGCCGCGGGATGCGGAGCTGCGGAGCCGCCCGGCCAGCGCCCCCGCACGGTCCCGCCGCGCAGCCTCCGGGGCGCCGAGCCCCGGGCTCCCCGCGTCGCAGGACGCCGATGCGGGGTGCCGCCTCGAGGCTGCGCGGGCACCGGGGTACGATCCCTCGGCTGCCGGCGGGCGGGCGCCGGGTGAAAAATAGGAATTGGCTTGGGGGCGAGGTTGGCCCAGCTCCGCCCCCGCCCTCCTTTCGCGGCCCCCCGCGGGGACCCGGGCTGTGTGTGTTGTTTTAATGTCAGGGATGATGTAATCACTTAATAATTGATGCCCGTGCTGCTTTTCCTCCCCACCCAACCCCTGCCCCACTCCTCCACCTCTGGGCCTCCTCCCTCGGCGGCCCTCGCCTTCCCCAGCGCATCCTCCTGCCTATTTCTGGAACCTCCCTTGCACTTCCCCACCCTCCCCTTCACCCTTCCTGTGCCGCCACCCACCCACCCTTCCCCTTTCCCCTGTGCCTGGCCTTGACTCCTCTTCCTCTGCCCCCCACCCCTTCAGCTCCATCAAGCTCGTTTCTCCTCCCTTCTCCACTCGCTGGCTGGATTTCCTCCCCACTTCCCTAGGTCGGTGGGTGGATGGTTTTGTTTGGTCTCCTCCGGGCTCTCGTATCTCTGAGGCCACAGGCAGAAGGCACTGGACTAGAAGGAGGCCACCAAGCCTGGGCCCCAGAGGCGTTTGCTGGGACTCAGTGGGAGGAAGGATAATAAAATCACCCATTTTGCCCCTCCTTCCTCCAATAAATCAGTCTCTCTCTCTCTCTCTCTCTCTCTCTCTCTCTCTCTCTGTGTGTGTGTGTGTGTGTGTGTGTGTGTGTGAGACACAAAGAACCCTTTCAGTTCATAGAGAAGAGACATAAAGCACCCAGGGTACTGTGCATCTTGTTTCTCGTCCCAGGGGCTTCCCTTTCTTTCTGATGAAGCAGTTCATTTCTTAGTCCTTTCTACCACATTTACCAAAAAATGAAAGCTCCCAGATCCGGGGTGGCAGGTGCAGGCATTTTGCTGTATCCACCAACTGAGTGGCAACTGCAGTTTCTTCTGTTTAAGGGGGGTGGGGGATTATTTCAGCTGTCTTAGGAGTTGCCATACTTTCCAGGAAACCTCCTCTCCGCCCCCATTTTCTCCTCTTTCTTTTTGAGGATAGGTACTGATACCCAAAACAGGATACATTGATGGAGGACCAGAAAAAAAAAAATGTTTCTGAGTCAGAATTAAAACTGTTTAAGAAGACTGAGGCATCCAGCCCTTAAAGTCCAAGGCTTCCTGGCCTTGGAATGTGCTCTGGTCTGCCCATTTTGTTACTCTGCCCCTTTATTTAAGTGACAGGGCAGTGGGTATAACAGTGGGCTGGCATTTGGAAGACCATTGGGGTCAGCACTTGTTGGCTTCAAGGTTGACTTTGAGTGTCCACATCCTCCCTCTCACCACTAAAGCGACTACAAAAGCGACTACAGTACTTTCCATCCTTTGTGTTCGTCTTCAGGTGAAGAAACGCAGATTTCAGAGGAAGTGGTTTCAACTCTCAAGCTTCAGGGGTAGTTCACGGGATGTAGATGTCTGAATTCAGAACCTATGATGTTCCTCTTAAGGTGGAAATGTAAATCTCAGGCTTGGTTTGTCAAGATTTAGGTGGGATCTTCTGACTCCTAGATTGTGGCTCCTCTGCTGTTGAAAGAAACAAAACTGTCCCAAGTTTATTCTTTCTTTAGCTGTTTTAGCTGTTTAGAGTTGTGAACGTTTATATTTAAAAAAAAAAAAAAAAGGCAGAAGGGTTAATCCTAATTGTTCTCTGAAAATAGAGGCTGGTTTCTTGGGGTACCAGACCCAGAAAGGAAGGTTAGTACACAGTACACTTACGCTGTGCTGCCCAAGTTAGAGGAACTTATTGATGAGTTAACATCAGATATCGTGTCTTCTGTCTGTTTCGACCACTAATTAATTGGTCAGCACCTTGAGAAGAGACCCTAATCTGGCTTGTCTCATTTTCTAGCAAGTTTTCCTTTCGTCGGTATTATTTGGTGGTTTCATTGACAGAGCAACAATGAGTTAGGTCAGTGGTACACATCTGACATCTGACTCGTGGTAGCAGCTATGATAGGCCTGCAAGCATAGTCTGGTACAGAAGCAAAAGATAAGTCTTCCTGCTCGTGTGATAGTCCCCAGTCCGTGTCTCTGCTCAGTAGGTGGCTTTCTTCTGTGCCGTGTGCCACTCTGGGTCCCCCTCTTCCTCCGAACTTTCCATTGTAGTGTGGCTGCCGTATCCTTGCGCTGTGACTAGGTGAAGGAGGAGGTACGTGGAAGTGAGGATTGGCTAGCTGAGTTTTGTTGGATGCCCACCAGAAAAAAAAGAAAAACAACCTAAAAGTGACTACACAAACTGGGATGTTCAAGACTAGATGGGGGCACCGGAGAGGTGGACAGCGCTGAAAGAGAAATTGAAAGGGTTATTTCAAGTACCATCCTGAGTGCCATAGTGGAGTTACAAGTAAAGATGTGGCATGGGCCTCATTTGTATTTTATGAACGTAACTTGCTTACAGTGTGGGACATGGCCTGAAGCAGACAGGAGCCATTCCAGGAGAACTGTTTGCAGAATCTGAGAGGGCTGATGGGAATTGCTTGGTAGAGGTAGAGTGAGGAAATACTGAGAGAGCGTGGAGCAATCACTGAAACGGAGCGGAGATGTGGAGACCAGTAAGGCGGCAGGATGGTAGCTTCATTGTGGCCACCGCGAATGTGTAAGCATGCGACTGGATGGGTGACTCTGGAGCTAGGGATGAGGGCTAAAATTCAAACATAAATTTGCTAATAGCAAATTGCAAAATACTTGAAGCCACGGAAATATATCCCTTGGGGAGAATATGTTAGTAGAATAGATGGGGTGAGCCCTACAATGGAATAGGGGTGCAGGCCCTCAGTGGAGGGGTCCCAGTTATGGGTCAGGCCAGGGGGTTCACCAGATAACAGGATGGAAGTGCCATTGGATTTAGCATGGGACATTTGGAAACCTGACCTGTGAACCATCCAGAGACCAGAGAGGTAGCAGTGTAGTAGTCAGACATGTAATCACAAGCGATCCACTTACTGAGATTTTCAAGGTTTCAGGTCACAGAACCTAGAATCTTAAGGATCATATAGTTCAGCATGCTAATTTCACTTGAGGCAAAATGAAATCCAGAGAGACTCGGTGACCTATTCAGAGGGCCCAGTCCCCGTGTCCTGAGCCTTTCAGTTCCGGTGAGAGTAGAGTTTAGTGGTGGTGGACGTCCTTCTGTGTATATGTTTCTCTTATTGGTTGATGAATAAAACACCGTTTGGCCAATAGAGGCAGGAAGATAAGCGGGACTAAGAGATAAAGAGAATTCTGGGAAAGGTAGGCCCGCCAGAGAGATGTCATGGAGGAACCAGGAGGAGAGGACACACTAGGCATTTTCCAGTAAGATAAGGCCATGAAGAAATGCAGATTAGTAGTTATAGGTTAATAGTTAAGACAGACCTAGCCAATAAGAAGCCCTAGCCTTCGGCCAATAGTTTTATAATTAATATAGCGTGCTCATTTGGGGCTGAAGTGGCGGGACCTTGTGGGACAAGAAGAAACTTTAGCAACAGTTTAGAGCATGGAGCTGAGATGGCCTCTGGGTTTGATCGTCCCAGATGTGTGACCTGATCTTTCTTTATCTCCCTCCGCCCCTCTCTCCCTCCCTCCCTCCCTCCCTCTCTTTTATATGTGGGATGGGGATGGTAAATGCACAGAGTGCAGTTGTCTGAGGAGGCCAGCAGTGTCAGATCCCTTGGTGCTGGAGATAAAGATAGTTGTGAGCTGAGTTAGGGTCATCTCCAACAGCATTATACATTCTTAACCATTGAAACTTCTCTCTGCTCCCATCTCTTCTAAACCACTAGTTCTCAACCTTCCTAATGCTGCAACCCTTTAATATAGTTCCTCATGTTGTGGTGACCCCAACCATAAAATTGTCATTGCTACTTTGTAACTGTAATTTTGTTACTGTTATGAATCTTAATGCAAATATATGTTTTCTGATGGTGTGTGTGTGTGTGTGTGTGTGTGTGTGTGTGTGTGTGTGTGTGTTTGTTTTGAGACAGTGTTTCTCTGTGTAGCCCTGGCTGTTCTGGAACTCACTTTGGAGACCAGGCTGGTCTTGAACTCAGAGATACTCCTCTCCTGCCTCTACTTTCTAAGTGCTGGAATTAAATGTGTGTACCATCACCATCTGGCGACATTTCCAGTGATCTTAGGTGACAACCCTGTGAAAGTGTCATTTGACACCCCCCCCCATGGGTCACTACTCACAGATTGAGAACCACTGCTTTAAATGAAGACGGAATGAATTGACAAATGTAAAGCAATTTAAAAAATCACACCTTACCTATCAGTAAACACTGTGTTTGCTGTTGCTAATATATAATGTATGCACACACATATGTATACATGTATGTGCACACACAAGCAATTAGAAAGCAGAGATCACATTATGTATGCCTGCGATCTTGAGCAACACTGGTTTGTTTGTGTGTGTGTATGCCTATTAAAAATGTATTGTGTGTGTATTAGGAAAATTTGAGTATGTAGAAAGAGACTTAATGGAAGACTTAGTCTCAGGTCAAGAAGTGTTAGGAAAGGTTGGAGATTTGTGTATGTGGGTGGTTGAAACAGCAGTTTTAGTGAGTTCTTAAGAAATGCAGACTCTTCTTTATCCTTGAGAACAGAAACATAAAGGCATTCCTGAGTCAGCCCTGTAAAGGGTTTCTTTGTTTCAGTCAGAGCCAGAACTGTAACCTACTTATCCGTCAGTTCCTCCAGTTGGACTTTACAATGTATCCTGATTTTGCAAAGGAAAAAGAAATTACAAAGTAGGAAAAACCATGCATTTGATTTCTGAAAAAAAAAAAAAAAAGCTAGAGTTGGGTTATTT